GGAGAAGCAGGCTTCCCGCCAAGCAGGGAGCCTGATACGGGGCTCGATCATGACCCCAGCCGAAGGCAGATGCTTAATGACTGAGCCACCCATGCACCCCGCTTCTCATTCTTGATATTGGTTATTTGTGTCTCCACTTTTTTCCTGATCATTCTGCTAGAGGTTTATCCATTTGATAGAGCTTCACAAAGAAACCGCTTTTAACTTCATTGATTTTTTTTTTCCCTGTTTTTCTGTTTTCTATTGTATTGATTTCTGCTCTGGTTTTTATTACCTTTATTCCGATTCGTTTGGATTCCAATAGTTGTTTCCTAAGTTGAGGAAACTTTCCCATCCCCTTCGGTGCATGATGTCCAGTGTTCATATATTTTGAGTTCTTTAGTTGTTTCTGGAAGGAGTTTAAATCTGGTCCTTGATACTCCATCTTATCTGGAAGCAGAAATCTATGTTGCTGATATTTTCAACACCGTCCTTTATAATCTATTTGTGTTGTATTTGGAATGATGTTCAATGTGATCACTTCTCTGTCCAACAAACAAAACTCAGAGGTTCTGCTAGTCAGTTTAAGGAGCTGCCTTCCTCTGTATTGAATATCACCAGATTCTTTATGTAATTTCTTCTTTCCTCATCAAAAAGGAAAAAAGAGTAATGATTTATTAAGTACCTTCTATGAATCCAGCATGTGTTATGGGTTTAAATATGTTACCTCTGGGGCGCCTGGGTGTCTCAGTCGTTAAGCGTCTGCCTTCGGCTCAGGTAATGATCTCGGAGTCCTGGGATGGAGCCCCGCATTGGGCTCCCTGCTCAGTGGGGAATCTGCTTCTCCCTCTCCCTCTGCTGCTCCCCCGCTTGTGCTCTCTCTGTCTCTCTCAAATAAATAAATAAATCTTTAAAAATAAAGAAAGAAAGAAGTTACCTCATTTAATCCTTATGATAACCCTATGAAGAAGTAATTGTCTTCATTATAAGATAAGGTAATTGAAGCTGAGAAGTTAAATAATTTGCCGGCGGTCACACAACAGTAAATGTTATAGTCAGCTTTCAAACTCAAGTCTGTCAGACCCAAGGACCCAGTATTACTTTCTAGTTCATTACAGTACCATAAAGTTGATGAAACCCTTCAGAGGTGGTTTTGCTGAGTACAAAGAGACAGCTACTAATACCAACTCAGAAAGCTTTTTCTTATCTGCCCCTGCAAAGAGAGTAAGCATTTTACATCTAAGAAAGGAAAAACATTAGTACAGCTAGAAAGAATAGTTTTAATTGAAGTTCTGTCAGGTGACAGGAAGGAAAAGGACTAAGAGAGCTATTGTTAAGAAACAGGAAGAATGTGATTTTAGAAATGCTGGGTCAAGAAAACATTGTAACAGTGAAGTTACAGAGGGTGAAAGAGGGAAAAAGCAGAAGTTATTCAGCAGTGACGTACTTTGAAAAGCTGCTGGAGCAATGAAAAAGCACATGGCCCTGACCCCCATTGCTGTCACTGCAACTTTTCATTCCCTTCCATGAGAATCAGACAATGAATTCAGAATAAAGGGGAAAGAAAAGAATGTTTAGTATCAAACAGTGTTGTCAAGATAAAATGTTCTGGATTGATTCCCAGTGCCACAGCACAGTGCACATTAACATTCCTTATATATTTTTGGAAACATATTCTACCCACATTGGCTCTAATTTTAGTTTTTATAGTGTATGGGTGTTTTGTGTTGTTCTGTTGCAATGCCTGGTTATGGATTTTTTTTTTTTAATGTCTGTAACCTCTACTAGAGTATGAAAGCAGTGTCTTCTAAGTATATGTAAATATGTTTACATTTTTTTAAAAGATTTTATTTATTTATTCATGAGAGACAGAGGGAGAGAGAGAGAGAGAGAGAAGCAGAGGGAGAAGCAGGCTCCCAAGGAGCAGGGAGCCCGATGCGGGACTCGATCCCAGGACCCCGGGATCATGACCTGAGCCGAAGGCAGACGCTTAACCATCTGAGCCACCCAGGCGCCCATATGTTTACATTTTATGGCAGTTTCTAGCATAAGATTCTCATCTTTTATATGACACAATGCCCTTTTGGTAAATGATGGTATTATAGCCTGAGATGATTTGAAAGGTCAGATTTGAGTCTTACTTTGTCATTGACCTGACTGACCATAGATGAATTATTTGTAAGATGAGGCACATGATTATCTCATCCAACTGTGAAGAATTTCCAGGAATAGTTATAAATGAGAATATTACAAGGGCTTTGAAATGTAGGCAGTACATTTGACAGGAAATATGTGCCATTTATTCTTTTAGAAGGTTCTATAGAATTTTATAGAGTCAGTTTTAAATGTTAATAATTACTCAAGAGAAATCACCTTAATTCATTAAAAAGTAGAATTGGACAATATAGCCAGCCTCTATGTTGCAACTTGCTAAATGCCAGGGAGTCTTGACCTTCTGCAAACACCTCTTCCTATTCAGAGGCCCCCCTGCACATTCAACATTTAATTGTGGCAGTTTCTCCACTCTAGAGTATGAGCTCATGCAAAGCAAACTGTGTCCTTCGTTTCATATCTATGAGCCTGGCACAGTGTTCAGCTTATTGTAGGGATTTGATATTTCAGTTATTCTTTCTATCGTGAGGCCTAATTCCGACTGTCCAGTCCTTCTTTCTTTAATGTTGTAAACATGCATGCCTTTGCATATTTGAACATGGGAAAAAGTAGCTACATAAATGCTTATGTGTAACGAAAGACAAAGAAACTTTGCCTGTTTTGTTTCCTGTTTGTTGGATTTTTAGTTTAAAAAGTAAGATATGCTTATTTTAATAGTTCAGATAGTACAGAGGTACCTAAAACACAAGTCAGCCATCTCTATTCTCCAGTCTTTGTTTTTCTTACTCTTCCTCCCCCTGTCAGATATTTATGTTCATATAAATACTATTTGTACTTTAATATTATGAATAGTACTCTAGGCAAATACATTTTTTATACCCAGTTATTAAATACTATACTGAAAGTGAACAACAGAATCATCATATGGATACAGAATGGTTGTGAGGGTACCTTGTTTACCTTCATGGCCTTGTGCGCAGCTCCTGCTGCCCAGCATCACAAAAGAGCATTGTACCACATGTTGCTAGCCTGGAAAAAGATCAAAATTTAAAGTATGGTTTCTCCTCAGTGTGTGTTGCTTTCACACCATCGCAAAATTGAAAAATTATAAGTCAAACCATTGTAAGTTGGGGACCAAGTGTAAATTACATGATATATTCAGCACTTTATTTTTACAAAATAGTCTTTATTTTAGATGGTTTTGTCCAATTGTACACTAATGTAAGTGTTCTGAGTGTGTTTAAGGTAGGCTAGGCTAAGCTATGATGTTCAGTAGGTTAAGTGTATTGAATGCATTTTCAACTCAGGATATTTTTCAACTTATGATGGGTTTATTTGGACATAACCCCATTGTAAGTTGAGTAATATCTATAGTTTTACCTCCTGATGCTTTTATTTCTCCGTAAGGGATTCATAAAAGTGAAATTGCTAGATCAGGTGGTATGTTTAGTTTTTAATTGCAGTAGGCCGTTTTTTTGTGTTTTTTTTAAGGATGTATCAATTTACATTTCTATCAATCTCCAAATCCTTGGTAGCTTTAGAAATCTTTCTAACGTTTCCCCATATGATCAGTTTAAAATGGTAAGAGGCTGGGGAACCTGGGTGGCTCAGTCATTAGGCGTCTGCCTTTGGCTGGGGTCATGATTCCAGGGTCCTGGGTTCAGGCCCCGCGTCAGGCTCCTTGCTCGGCGGGAGGCCTGCTTCTCCCTCTCCCTACTCCCCTGCTTGTGTTCCTGCTCTCACTGTGTCTCTCTCCATCAAATAAAATCTTTAAAAATAATAATAATAATAAAATAAAAAATAAAATGGTAAGAGACCTTTATTAGTATTTAACAGTGAAAGAGAAAGGACACTGATAAACATTTCTTATATATCTGAAAAACATTTTACTCTTGTTTTTGTTTTTTTGTTTTTTGTTTTTTGTTTTAAAACCTGGTCCTTTCAGGCCCCTGGCTGGCTCAGTCAGTGGAGCATGTGACTCTTGATCTTGGGGCTGTGAGTTTGAGTCCCACATTGCATGTAGAGATTACTTAAAAATAAAATCTGCTTTCTGCCATCTCTCTCTGCCGCCATAATGATGCACATGAATGTCCTGGCAGCTGCCCTCAAGAGCATTATTGCTGAAAAGAGAGACAAACACCAGGTTCTTATTAGGTCATGCTCCAAAGTCATCCTCTGGTTCCTCACGGTGATGATGAAGCATGGTTACATTGGTGAATTTGAAATCACTGATGATCACAGAGCTGGGAAAATTGTTGTGAACCTCATGGGCAGGTTAAACAAGTGTGGAGTGATCAGCCCCAGATTTTGATGTACAACTGAAAGATCTAGAAAAATGGCAGAATAACCTGTTCCCATCCCGCCAGTTTGGTTTCATTGTCCTGACAACCTCAGCTGGCATCATGGACCATGAAGAAGACGAAAACACAGGAGGGAAATCCTGGGATTCTTTTTCTAGGGATGTAATACATTCATGCAAATAAAATGCCTCAGTGGAGAAAGAAAGAAAATAAAATCTTAGGGGCACAGCTGGTTAAGCACCAGCTCTTGGTTTTGGCTCACGTCATGATCTCAGGGTCGTGAGATCGAGTCCCATGTCGGGCTCCATGCTGGGCATGGAGACTGCTTTAGATTCTCTCTCTCCCTCTGCCCCCTGCCCCGCTCTCACATGTGCATGCAGGTGTGCTCACACTCATTCTCTCAAAATAAAAATAATAAAAATAAAATCTTTAAAAAAAACTGGTCTTTTTATAACAGGAAAAATGCAAGTGAGAATAGATACTTTTTTTCTGTGTGCAGTTGAATAAGTAAATTATATTTTGAAACAGTCAGGTTTTAAGTGTTTTTTCCTGCTTTCAACCATTTTCTTGAAGTAAGCAAGCTAGCCAGTGGCTTCTAATTTTCCCTAGCTTAATGCAGATCCCGAAAGAGAAGAAGGAGAAGAGTTTGAAGACAACATGGATGTTTTTGATGACAGCAGTTCCAGCCCCTCTGGCACCTTAAGAAATTATCCACTTACCTGCAAAGTTGTTTATTCCTACAAGGTGTGTATTTCTCTAACCTATTGTTCATATTAAATTGTGGCAACCCTGAAGACACACGTGACTGTGTCTACCCAGCCTCGCATAGTGTGCTTACTATAAAGTTGGTGTTCAGTTAACGTTAGAGACAGTATAACATAATAGTGAACAGTTTAGGCTCTGACATCAGACTGCCTGGATTAAAATCCTGTCTCTGCCATTTACAAGCTATCTGACCACACTAGCCCCTTGGTCTCTGTGAGCCTCAGTTTTCCTATCTATATTATGGGGATAATATCAGAGGGCTAGTTTGAAGATTAAGTGAGATAACACGTTTATAGCAAAGCACTTAGAACAGTGCCTGGCATCTAGTAAATTTTCAGTAAATCGAAATCTTAACCCTTATTATCAGTTGGCTGCTTTGGCACAAGACCCTCCATTAGGATGACCGTCCAAACTGATACTAAAAGAAAATTGTTTTACAAAAGTTTTGTTAAACTTTACCTTTCCTAATCTTAATATAACCACCTCTTGTTTCCATGGTAAGCAGGGACCTAGATAAATAGATGCCAGATTTTCAAATCCTGATTTGGTATAATAGTTTTTCATCTCTCTCACCTCTGCTCTACTTACACATAAATTTTTTACTCATACAAAGTACACTGAATTTCCCTCCGCTCATCTAGTCCATCAACCAGCCCTGTTGACTGTATCTCCAAAACATATCCTGAATCCATTCACTTTTCACCATCTTGGTCTAGGCCATTGTTTCAATTACTGTAAAAGAAAAAAAAAACAACAAAAACCCATAATTGGTATCCCTTCTACATACTTACCTCCCTCTCAACAGTCCATTGTTCACTTTGCAGCCAAAATTTATCTTTAACAAATAAAAGAGATTATTTTATTCCCTTGCCTAAAAACCTTTTATAAGCTTTCCATCACACATAGGAAAACAAACTCTTCCCTAGAGTCTATAATGTTCAGATTGAGCTGGCCCCTTACAGTCTCCCTAGCTTCGTGTCAGACCATTCTCCTAACCAGCCCACTCACCACCCATTAGCAACTGTGGCACCATGCTCCTTCCTAACTTGACAACTTTACACTTGCTGCTCTCTCTACCTAGAACCATCTTTCCCCAGATTTTGGTTGGCTGCATACTGCTCTTCATTGAGGCTTAGCAATCAAATAGTGCCTCCTCGGGTCTCCCCTGACAACCTAATATAAGCCAAATTCTCATTCACTATTCTCTTCCCATTGCCCTTTTCCCTCTTTTATTTACTATATAGCACTTACCACCAGCCAAACTTAATCTTATTTGTTTTTATATTTCTTTGTCTTGATTCCCCACTAAAGGTCCATAAAAGCAGAAACCCGGTCTGTATCCGTGTACCTTGTCTGTGTGTCTCCAGCACGCAGGCCGGTACCTGGCACACGACAGGTCCTCAGTAAATAATTGTGGGATAAATAAATGAATGATATAAGGAAGGCATAAACAAATGAATCCTCCTCTGGCTCCCATGCTGATGGACACCCAATGCTTAAGGAACAACAACAGAAGCAGAGTCTGGAAAGAATCTTCAATAGCCATACATGGGGGACAGTCGCACTCCCACTGTCCCTGGATGGCCACAGCTTGGCAATATATACTCTTCAACATCAGTGATACCCAGACTTTTTAGTTTAACATCCTTTCATATATACTTAAATTATGAATACTTCCTCTTTTCTAAAAGAGGAAGTAAACTATTTTGATAATCTTTTGAAAATTTCAAGGCATCTTCTGAGATAGTTGGAAAGGTGTTACAGAGTATTATAAAACTAGGGTTGGGAATGTTTTCTCATCTCACCTCTCAATATTATATTTACTTTGAAGTTTCAGAATTTAAAATTTAAGGTCCTTAAATGGAGAGGATCCCAAGAGTCTGAGTGATTATAAATAGATCACATCCATCCAGCATTCCCTCTGTTGGCATATGCCAGGCATGTCCCTATGGTAAAGCAGACTATAAAAATCTGTTTAACTAGTTCGTCACTGAACAAACATTTATTTAGTGCCTGTTAAGTTTCAGGGATGCAAGAATTAATGTGACACAATTTGTGCCCCCCCCCCGAATGGATAGTCTGGGGGAATTAAGTATTAAACTGAAAAATGGAATATGTATAAAAACATTTATAGTAGAGGTTAAAACCACTAATTTTTTCCTGTGATGGGAGAAATTTCATAGATGAAATGGCACTTAAATTAGGTCATAAGATCTTACTAAATACAGTGAGAAGGGAAAGAGCCTTCTAGGCAAAAAGGACAGCAGATACAGAGACAGAGGTGGATGAGAGTATGCGGTGTTCGGGAAATGTTACATTCAGTAGCGGGCGAGCATCAGGTGTAGGGATTAGAGCTGCTGGAAATAAAGATGTTTACTGTTAGTAAAGGGCCTTGGAAACGAGACTGAAGTATGGTTTGTATCCTGGCTGGTGAGAACCTTTGGATGTCCTAAAATCAGATGGGGTTTTTAAGAAGGTAACAACCCTGGTCATGGTATAGACACTGTACAGGATAGATTAAAGAGAACTGAACTATAAGCCTAATGGTGGTTCCTATAGTCCAGACCTGGAAAGGAGGCCTGGATTAATCTGGTGAGAACAGAGGAAAGTTATATTTAAGGATTAGATTCAAAAGACTTAAAAATGCTTATAACCTTTGCCCCTACTAGCATATATCTTAAGGAAATGATCCACAATTTAGAAGAAGGTTTTGGATACAAAGTGTTTTTTCATCGTAGTACTATTTTGTAGTAGCTTGAAGTTGGCTATCTGATAAGAGAATAGTTAAATAAATTAACCATTCATATAATATAATAATGTACATAAAATATTATCAAGATAATTGAAAATTACATTAATGAGAGTCTTTTTATGTAGGAAGCAATGATAGGCCAGAAGAGTAAGATGCCAAATTACATGTACCGTAAGATTTCGATTATACATATTTCCAGCTTTTCTACAGTGAACATGTATTATTTTAATCAGGAAAAAGCACATTGTTTTTTTTAAAAAAATGGAAAATTGAGAGAGAGAGTGGTGAGGATGGAGCGCTTGGCTACTTCTAGGGTTGTGGTTGTCCCTGGGAGTTAGGACTTCAGGGGGCAGTGTAAGAGCATGTGTTTGTTTAGTAAGCCCTTCCTGACCACTTTCTCTCTTTAGTTGGGATACATGAGAAGAATTACATTCCCTGCAGTAAGTAAGTCATTCTGCTGGGCACCCTACAAGGGCAAACAACTAAGCAGAGTGCCATGGTAGTTGGTGGTAGTTAGAGAGATGCACAAGCCTTACAACAAAAGGAGCAAGAAGCCGCCAGCTCATGGTGGGTGGTCTGGAAAAACAATAGCTGGGTCTCAAATCATGAGTAATAGTAATAGCTACATATGTGAAGTATTATGTGCCTGGTACTATATTTATGTTATTCTAATCTCTTCAGTAACCCAATATGGGAGATATTATCAGCCAACCCATTAATTCAACAAATATTAATTGAGCACCTTCCGTGTAACATCCTGTGCTCTTTTCTAGGCTTGGGAATATGGCATTGATGAATACAGACAAAAATCTCTGCCTTCATGGAGCTTACATTCTAATAGGAATAAAAAAGAAAACTGAGGCTCAGAGAGGTCTTATGGTCACTTGCCCTTAGAAACAGACTGAAGCTGGACTTGAACCCAGTCATCTAAGTCTATTCATCAGACGGGAAAGAGGGAGTGGGGCCTCCTGGAAAGAAGGAACAGCCTGGTAAAAGCATAGAGGCAAGGAATAACATGGTGTGTTCCAGAGACTAGGGAATGGTGTGTGGGGCCAAAGCATTGAGAGGCCACAGTAACCAAACCCTGTAGAGTCTTGAGATCCAAGCAGAGGACTTGACCTTGTCAAGTGGAAAAATTGGTCACTGTTTGGGGATGGTATGATCAACCTAGTATCTGCTGATATTACATAGTAGCACTGAACAACTTGCATGGACCTCCATGACTTTTTTTTTTACGAGGGCAAAGTATATTTAAAGGTGTTCTTATCCTTCCTGCTTTGTCCTCACACATTGAAGTCAGTTGTGTTGATACTTTTTAAGTCTTCCCATGGAATTAGGGAAAATGTCTTTGTTATATTTTTGCCTTTTGCTGATATAGTCAAAGCATAGTGAGGTTTCAGATTAGCCAAGAAATTTCACTGGAAAAGCTCTCATGGATAAATTACCTTTTTTCCCCCAATTTTGAAATCAGGTAATTTACTTAAAATTCTGGTCCTGGAGTATTTCTGTAATGGATCAGCCATTCTCAGTACTATTTGAACATCTCAAGCAGTTGTGGCAACATCCAGAATCTGGATTTGATGAAATATTATAATGCATGTGAAATGGGAAATGAGTCTTAATAGAGTGACCCATTTTCTTGCCTTATTTTTGCTTGTGTAACTTGGAGATAGTTTACACTTTGAGACTGTGAGATTCGAAAAACTATATGGTCTTGTAGTTATATAGTTGTACTAATCTTGGGACTTGGGGAACGCTTTTAAGACTGTTCACCAGAGAGCCAGAAGATGCCAGCAGGCCTCTCCCTGCTACATGTGACAGCAAGTCTCTTTAGGAAACACAGCCACACAGTTTCCCCCCCCCCAAGAGTTTGCTCTCAGATTCTGCAGTCTCAGGAGCAGTATCTGGTGGCCGGTGCTGGTGGATTCCTGCTGTCAGAGATAATAAAACCATCACGGTTAGCAGCTTGCACAGTAGCACCTAGGCAGATCAGCCCAGTCTTCACAGTTAAGTTAGAGCATCATAAATCCAAATTGTGACCCATCTCAGTCATTTCCTTCCCAGCTTTCTTCTCTTGGCCATTGTTTTTCACACGGTGACTCCAGATCAGTTCCAGGCACCGCTCACGCTATCATCCAGTCCATGTACATAGATAGCTGTTTGCGTTCTCACAGTGCGCAGCTCTGTGGTGGCCTCTGTGCAGTTCTGGTTCAGCGCTCGCTCTGCCTGTGCTTCCCAAATCACCATGGTTCTCAGCTTACCCATCCCACACTGACTCCCCCTGCCTCCCGGAATGGCAGGAGTGTCATTTTGAAGAAATGGAGGCATCAAGAAGTTGATGACCAATAGATACATAAGCTGGAGCTGGAGCCTGGGGCCCCTGCTTCCAGCCGAGTGCTGTGTTCACTGCACCTGATGGCCTCTTGAGGATTCCGTTTCTCCAGTTTTTGTTGCAGCTTTATTTTGTTTAGTTTTTTAAAGCAAAACGTCACCTCATTACGATAGTTTTACAGCCCTTAAATTTTTATGTTCAGTATGTTCTTCAAAATCATTTCAATATCTTGATCCACAGTTTTTGTTATGATCAGCATACATCTGCTCTTTATCTAACCTTTTTAATTTTGTCCGTGACCATCCTACATTGCAGGCTTCCCAACCAGATGAGCTGACCATTGAGGAGCATGAGGTGTTAGAAGTGATTGAAGATGGAGACATGGAAGACTGGGTCAAGGTATATTCCTTTGTTCGTATCGCCCCTTCTTGTGACATTTTTAGGAGTTGGTTTTGGTTTTAGTTTTGCCCTGTCCAGATTGTGTGTGCAAACCTATTTTGTCACATGTCTTTTACTCAGGCTCGAAATAAAGTTGGCCAAGTGGGTTATGTGCCAGAAAAGTACCTACAGTTTCCCACCTCGAGCAGTCTCCTGAGCATGCTGCAGTCCTTGGCTGCTTTGGACAGTCGGTCACACACATCCAGCAATTCCACGGAGGCCGAGCTCGTTTCAGGCAGCCTCAACGGAGATGCCAGTGGTAAAGACTGAAAGAAGGCACTCTTTATTTGGTCACATTTGGCCTAAGCAGTATTGCCCTGGAGTCAGCCTTCAGTGGGTTAAAAAGCAGAACTTCATTCCCGTTCCGTGTTTTCTGTTATTTGGTCACATTTACCCTGTACGGTAGGACCCTGAGCAGATCTTCAGTGAGTAAAGAATTACAGCTGTAGTCTTAGCCTGTGTGATGGGCTTTTAGTTGTCACGTGAGCGCAGGGGTGGTTGCGAAAGTAACCTGGCCGTCCATGTCCTTAAGCATTTTTCTCCCTTTTGCCACCTAGTCTGTTTCGTGAAAGCACTTTATGACTATGAGGGCCAGACAGATGATGAATTATCCTTTCCTGAGGGAGCAATCATCCGAATCTTGAACAAAGAAAACCAGGATGACGATGGCTTCTGGGAAGGGGAATTCAGTGGGCGGATTGGAGTTTTCCCATCGGTGCTAGTGGAAGAACTTTCAGCCTCAGAGAACGGTGACACTCCCCGGATGAGAGAGATTCAGGTATGTGAGAGGGGAGAAAGCTGAATTAAAAGGTGTTTAAAGAAAATAACCCCCAAGGGGTGGTTGACCCATGCAAATGTGGGGCTACAGTTTCAGCCCCGCCTTCCCACTCTAGTCCTCTGTTGTCAAGTTTCTGCAAAAACTGAGTTTGGAAAAGCAGAGGCTCACCAACCTGGCTCCTGGGTAATGGCTGTATTACACCTCCATTTGCCTGCTTTTTGTGCTCTGAATCAGTTAACCGAAAGGATAAATTGTATATGACATACAAAAGAATGGTTTGGTAGGAAGAAAGAAAGAAACCGGAGGGGGAATGTATTGTCTCCATGGTTAGTTTAGGTAATGAAAATACTGCTCTTTCTTTCCATCACGGTCAGAGCCTGCCTGCCCGTCCTTTTCAGAGAACTAATGAGCCTGCCAGAGCCCCATTTTACTGATGTGTCTCTAGGCTCAGCTCATCCTAGCAAAACTTGGCTTTACAGGAAACCCCTAAATCAGGTCTGCCATAGCAGGCCTGGTAGATCCAGGATCAGAAGGAACATGTCTTTCCACCTTGTTTGTGTGACATTGTGACCACTTAGTCTGACATTTACAAAACCTGGGGAAGTCAGAAACAGCCAATTATTTTATCTTAACAAAAAAATAGAACTTGTCCCCTTTTTTTTGTTCTTCACCGGATTTACTGAATTGACCGATTTGGTATGTTTTCAGTAGAACTCTAGAGAATGGTTTGACTTGATGACTGTTTATGATAAACTATAATCAGTAGTGTAATGAGATCTCTGAGAGGAAAAAGTTAAATGCATCACAAAATAGGGTTTGGGATTGTTATTCTAAGCTCATGTGCTTCTAATGAGGCTGACAAAAATTGTGAATAGTCCTATCTGAGCTGCAGAGAAAAGTAATATGTCTGAATTAGTCAGCGAAGCCAGATTGCCTCTCCTTCCTGCAGTGAGCACTTTGTAGCTTCTTTTTCCTTTGTGGCAGATCTCTCCTTCCCCCATGCCACCGGGCTCCCTGCCTCCACTGCCGCTGTATGACCAGCCTCCCAGCAGCCCTTACCCCAGCCCAGAGAAGAGGAGCTCCCAGTACTTCCCGCGCTCTCCTTCAGCAAATGGTAAGCGTTCTGGCATGGAGCTAACTTCATTTTCATTCAGAAATCACATGTTCACCTGAAGAGCACATGGATCTGCATTAGCATTTTTATTGCTCAACAACACAAATAAAATGAGCTGCTTGGTTCCCTTCCCTAGAAAACAGCTTCCTTGCTGAGTCACCAGGATTCTCACGGGCACCACGGCATACTCCTGAGACCTCATATGGCAAACTGCGACCCGTAAGTCTCTTATCTGGCAGGGTTACAGAATGCACAGTTCTTCCAAAATGAAAGTTAAAAATTAATGTCTCCCCGTGGCCCCTATGTTACAGTGATGCCCCCATGCAAGGGTCAGGTGGGTTGGGGACAATGAAAAGAGCTCTTAAAAATGTAGGGGCGCCTGGGTGGCTCAGTTGGTTAAGCTTCCACCTCTTCATGTCAGCTCAGGTCATGATCCCCTGGGTCGTTGGATTGAGCCCCTGTCCTTGGACTTGCCGCTCAGTGGGGAGTCGGCTTAAGGATTCTCTCTCTGCCCCTCCCTGCACTTGTGCGTGCACGTGTTCTCTCTCTTTCTCTCTCTCAAATAAATAAATCTTTTTAAAAAAATGAAGGCTATAAAAAGCAACACATCTTGGAAGGTCTGGTCTACGCTGGCAGTTTTCTCACTAAGCCATGGTGAGATAGCTAGGAAAGTCTTTGAATTATAGCAAGCTCTGTGAGCATTAGAGTGGTCTAATTGTGAAACAGAAGCACTTTTTTTTTTTCCAGCGAGCATTTATTGAGAACCTATTTTCCGGGCTTATATTTGGCCTCTTTTGAGGAACAGAGATGAAATGAGTTCTACTTCATCCCTTTTTGAGGTTTAAGAGCTTCTATTCTCAAGGAGAATCTACTCTTACAAATAATCACCTCTCCTCACCCCTCACTCCATGCCTTCACCTCCTTCCCCCCACCTCACTGTGAAACAGCTCAAGGTCATAACTTTCCCACACTCATCCAGTGCATTAATTTTCCTTGAACTGCTTATCAGCATTTGACACCAGTCCTTGAACCACTCACTTCCTTTGGCTTCGTTCATTCAGACATGGATTGAGTGCCTTGTTAAAGACTTTGGTTCTTTATCCTAAGTGTAATAGGAAGCCATTGCAAAGTTGTAAGCAGGACAGTGATGTGACTGGTTTTGCATTTTTGAAACATTGCTGTGGCAGCTAAGTGACAATGAATGGAAGGTGGCAGAATGGACATGGGGAGCCATTTGGAGGCTGGAGCAGTGGTCCAAGCAAGAGGGGATGGCAGCATAGACTGCTGGGTATGAGTGGGAATGGGGAGAAGTGGGCCAGTTTGTTCCAAAACCCTTTCCTGGTTTGCTTTCTACTCTGGCCCTTTCTTTTTCATTCACCTGTACGGGCTTCTCTGCTTCAACCCATCTCTGCTGATGCTTCTCAGGGTTCTGTCCATGGGCTGCTTCTCCTGAGGTCGTTAAACTCACTCTCCCTGTGCAACCTCATCTCCTCCCACAGCTTTGATAACCATTTATTTGCTGACAACTTCCAGACTTCTGCCAATCCAGTCTCTTGCCTAAGCTTCAGCCTTGTGGATATCTCAGTGTACACATACCAGAGCCCCAAACTCAGCAACAGTGAGTTAATTATCCTCCCTCCCCAACATGCTCCTGCTCCTGTACTGCCCGCCTTGGTGAGTGGAACCTCCATTCTACCACTGCTCTGGCATCACTCTTGGTAGCTCCCTGGCTCTGCCTCCCACAAACAGTCATCACCAAATCCTGCCACATTTACCTTGGAGACAGCTGTCTTTTCCTCTACCCGCCCCCCACCCTTGCCTAGGTCAGGCTAACATCAACTCTCACACCAGCTTGATCACAAAAGCTTCCTAAATTGTCTCTTTACCTATACCCTAGCCCACCCCCGCTCTTTTCTCCAAACCATTATCCGACTAGTCCTTTCACACCTTTGCTACCGCTATTTAAAATCCACCAAAGACTCCTCTTTGCCCACAGAGTAAGGCTCAGATTTCTTAACATGGCTTTATGAGGCCCTTCATGACTTCACCCCAGGCTGCCTCTCTAGTCTTCTCTCTCGCAGCCCTCCTTCCAGGACAGGCTGAAAGGTTTTCAGTTTGCAAGCACTGCTCTCTCTGGGTTCCACCTCCAGGCCTTTGCTTTGGAGGAGGCTTTTAGGGCTATAGCCGAGCTTTCAGCCGAGGAAAGAACCTGATTTGTAGGTTCCACATTTCATCAGAACAGTAACTCCCTGGTGTGGGAAATAGTCAGAATTACTTTGGAAGCACATACTTTCATGTTCAGAGCATTTGAGACCCCTGGGGTGCCCATGACTGTGGGTAGATGACCTGTTGGGCTGTGGAGGCTTCAAGCACTGAATCGGGAAGCCGACTGACAGTCCATATATTTGTTTCCTGCTCAGGTCCGGGCAGCTCCCCCTCCACCTACACAGAACCCCCGAAGGCCAGCAGAGAAGATTGAGGATGTAGAAATCACACTGGTGTGATGATGGGTTTACCCATCCATTACTGCTACAATCAAGGCCAGGCTTGGCGTTTGGCCATTCTTGTTCTTTAGGCACCTTTGCATGATGATGACTCTTGAACAGAGTGAAAACAAGGAGGCTTATGTGACTGGGTGGCCTGGTGGACTCCTCCCACGTTTTGGATATTTTGTGCCTTTTTTTGTTGTCATTTTCTATGTCATCTCTCCTACCATAGCACAAATCCTAGTGGGCCCTAGAAGCAAGGGGGTACAGCCCTCATGCCTATCAGTGGCCCATTTTTATATGAGACTCAAGACCAGGCCTCATTCAGGGCACAGTCACAGAGAAACTGATCATGTGCACTCGTACAGTATATTACTGTGGCCACAAGGGTGTGGCAAAGACCCTCATCTTTCTTCAAGTGGCTTTTGCTCGTCTGATTAAGTTTAATCAGATCATGTCGGCTGTGTAAGGAACTAGAAGGAGGGATTTCAGGAGGGGCTGGCTCCTCCCCACAGTTAGTCCCCAGATTGAGAAAGTGAAACTTACTGGGAAAAAGTGGACCGCCCTGAGTTTATCGCCAGTTGCATTAATGCACATCTCTTCCACAGCTAACAGATTAAAAACAGTAACAGTGTCCTTTGTATTAATATTTACGCCATTCATTTAGTGTTAGTGGAGCTAATACGGAGGGGCTGAACCGATAGCCAAATCTTGTCCATCATATAGACTAATAGAAAGGAGGCTGAGGCTGAAGCAGAAATGGAGCTTCCAGATCTGAAATGAGCTGATTTAATATTCTTTTTGTATTTGGGTATTTTTCATCTTAATTTTTGCAGCATATATTCTTCTGACCAATATCTTTAGAATCTGAATGTCTAGATAAATTGGGGACACATACTTGCCTTGTTGAGCTTCTCTCCTGGGGAGGCCCCTCATGTTTTATTCCCAAGCCGGTGCACGAGCCCAGCCAGCCAGCCTGTGGCTGCCCGAGACCAGTGGCCACCCCCCACAGGGTGCCCCTGGCCTGATAATGCCTTGGGAGGAAGAACCTGTGGCTCATGGAGGAAACCAGCTTCCTGTGAAAAAGGACTAAAGGACTACACACCGCGCCCAAGCGCAAATGGACAAGGAAAAGACAAGTTCTCCATGTCACAAGGAGAGCCAAAAGTAGTGTTTTCCACAGGCTAGCAAGCTCACAGTGGCAGGTGGCCCAGAGTAGGTCTCTACTGTCTGGCCACCTGTGGAAGAACAGGAGTGCCAAACCCAGGGACAAGGGCATTTTTTTTTTTTTTTTGGCCAGTTGCGTTTTTTTTCTTTTAAGAGATCAGATTTGCAGAATTCAATCTAAAAGTTGTATTATGCTTTGAAAACTCCATCCCTCCTAAGAATCTTTAAAAACTTGAAATGCTCGCCAAATGTCCCCATGGGATTTTTGACCAAAAGTCAGGTTACAACTGAAGAAATCTTTAGTCATTTGATCACTTCAGTGACAGTACCCAGTGACAAGTCTTCTCTGTGATTTGGGGTTTTTATTTTGTTTTTTGCATTTCTTAACCTGTTGATCTATTTGAGGTCTTTTTGTGTTTATCAAACTTATTCTTAAGTTTAAAAAAAATAAAAGGGTGGCTTTTTTAAGAATTTAAAGTTCTCTGACAATTTAAAAATCTTCAAAGCACTTTAAACAGTCTTCCAAGTGCTTGAATCAGATAGTTCTCGCTACCCAGTCTTGTCTTCTCTTTAGCTAGCCAAATTGTCCTTGAATCTGGATTTTCCACATTCTCAGAGAGTTATTTGAAATCTTTTGTTATATTTTAAAATATTTTTTGGAAGAGCTGCTAATTTTATTTAAAAAAAAAAAAAACAAAAGTTGTAAAAATATGCCTCCTTTTTAAAAAGAACCCCTCCCTCCAGGACATATAATCCAGCATCACAGTGCACAGGGCCAGGCTCGGAGGGAGTGCCTCTGTGCAGATGTGCTTTCTTTACAGTGGCTGTAAAAAGTTTGTATTTATTATGTATAAAATGTTGAATAATAAAAAAATGGAATTAAGTTTTCTAAGTTTCCATATAAAAAGATTTGGGTAATTAGACCTTTCCAAATAGACAATGCTTTTTATAAAGACATTCCTAAGCCTTCCTTTTTTAAACCATAAAACAGATACAGAGAGGGGGTAAATAAATTCCCAGTTAAAGGCTGATTCCCTCTGGCTGCCAACCAGCCACATTGGGGACCAGGGCTCAGTCTGTTTGGGGAGGGGCCTCATGGCTCTCTCCTTCCCAGAGTTGGGTACGTGCAATATGTATTCTTCAGACATTTTCTGTGCATAAAACTTACACACATATACATTGTCTTTTTATATACGTGAGATTATATATTTAGGTTTCCCTCATTCTTTTTGAAGGCTGTCTTATATTCCATGGTTTGGATATATCATAATTTAAGCCTGCTATAGCGATGGATGTTTAGGTTGCCTCCATCAGTTTGCTGTTAGAAAGTTGAAAACAACATCTTTGTACATTATTCTTTATAAATTTGTTCCAGTAAAAATATTGGCTGAATTCCTGAATATGTAATTTGAGAGTCAGAGAGCTATATGAGCATTTAGTTTCATTAGATTTTGTCAAATTGGCCCCCAAAATGATTGTATCTGTGGACACTCCCACCAGCAGCATGAGAGGGAACAGCATGGACTTTGGAGTCAGAGGGTCAGAGTTAAATCCTGGCTCCCACTTGACAGCCGTGGGAACCGAGCCTCCACGTCCTTGTGGAGACCTGAGGATAACACTTTGGATCCAAGAAGGACACATCGAGGCTGAGGCACCAGGCGGTCACCACCAACATTCCTCACCCTCGCCTCCCCACCATCCGTGACCCTCCCTTCACAGCTGGGGTCCTTGCTCTCTTCCAGCTTCATAGTCACACAAGGCTGTCAGGGGAAGGAGGGCTTCACAGAAATACGGGAAGGTGTACGTTGAATACCATGTTTGAAACAGCTGTTGGCATCAGAGGCTGGCTGTGACCAGCGGACAGTTAAACTGCCCCGCCACAGCGTCACAGCTAAATTTTGGCCTTCTTCAAAGGAACTAACTGTAGAACAATGAAGCCATAGATTCACAGCACATCACCTGGATCCCTTTTGTCTCTGACCTTTGACCCCCACCCCAACCCTCAAGACCGACAGAGAAGCAAGTAGGAGGATGTCATCTGGCTTTAGCCCTGCCACCACTTGATGGGGACGACCCTTCCTCTGGGCTGCTGCATCCCCAGCTTTGAAAGGAGTGGAATGAGATGATTTCTAAGGGCTTATCCAACTCTTATGGTCTAGATAAGCTCAGTTCCTAGACACAGCAAAAACACCACACAGAGAGGTCACAATATTTGAGAACAGACTAACATACTTCTCGGGATGGCCAGAAATTGAAAATTCAAGCCATTGGACGCTCCAGCCTCCGCCACCCCCCCAACCCCCAACCCCACCCCGGGAGGAAGCAAACCCTCCTCTGGATTGTGATCACATCCCAGGCTGTTCTGTTCACTCACTGCCCGAGTCCAGCTACAGCTTTAGGTCATGGAGCCAATTACCGCCTAACCTGAGTGGCTGTACAACAAAATCTAGCTGCTCTGAATCTTTGCATTTATTTTGTTCATTACAAAGAGGTTTTTCATGACAAAAACAACCAGGTTACAGAAATTTCAGTTTAGAAGAGAGAGAACTGTAATTTGCCCTGAAATCCTATAACTCGATGCAACCAGTATGTTTCCTCCTAGACTCTGTTTGTTCTGTCACTGTTGATCTGCCAAGAACCCTGTGAATGCCAAAGAGCGTCTTGTTCCTGGACCATTTACCCCTGGTCCCACCGGCCAGAAAAACAAATGGCATACTTCTGCCCTGTTTCTGAGAGCTCTGGTCTGGGAATATTTTCCTGGCATGTTCTCCTAAATCAACAGAAATGAACCCACAAATAGGGTTCACACCCCTTCCACACTGTGTGCTAAACACCTAAGCGGCCGCCTCATTCTCGTCACCCCTTGCTCCTGTGAGGGGTAGGGGAAGAGCCTGGTCAGAAGTCCTATATTTAAGCCCCTGGCCACCTTGATGAGCTGTGGCCTGCTTACCCCTTTGCCTTTCTGGGCCTTGCTTTCCTCATCTGTGAAGTGGGAATGAGAAGTCAATACAAACGTCCTAAAATCCAGGAAGATCAACTGAAATAATGTGCAGAAGGATGAAAATATTTGTGACCAGTAGATATATGTTCAGAGAAAGAATACAGCCTGTACCCAGGACATGGTATGCTGACTCTCCCCAGATGGATCCTCACCTGGTGCCACCAGGATTTTTCCAGAGGACTTCTAGGGGCCAGGACCGCCTCTATCAGTTGCTATTGAATATTGAATTCAAACTACCCCAGGTCTTATTCTGGGCACTGGAGACATAAATGACTCAGATCTCATCCCTGTCACCAAGGGGTTCACACCTGGTGAGGGAGACAGGAACAGCAGGCTCCAGCTAAGGTGTGTCTTCCAGGGAGATGACCAGGGGGCAGCAGGAGTTCAGAACAAGGGCTTCCGTCATTTCTCCCTGTCAAGTCTCAGGCTCACTAGGGCCTGACTGGGCAGGGCACACAGAGGAGGCAGTACTGCAGAACAGCCCCAGCGAAGAGCTGTGTCACCTTTGCTGCGGCCCAGAGCTGTGCGGCTGGAAGTCTCACAGGTGAGGAAACCCCCTCCGCCCTCCCCAAGACACTGCGAGTTGCCCAAGGTCTCTCAGGAAGACCACTGGGAGCAGGACCTAGAACTGGGTGCCCCAGACCAGGCCAGCCCCTCTCTGCAGAACCTGAGGGCAGTTTTCAGAAAAGAGGGAGGCCTGGGTTCTTATCCCAGCTCTGCCATGTGACCCCGCACAAGACCCTGGCCCCTCTCTGGGCCTCATCCCATGTGCCCAGCCAGGGAAAGGCCATTCCAGTTTTGACATTAGAGACCCCCAACTCAGGCACGCAGGCTGAGTACCTGAGAACTGAAAACCTGGAAGGTATGCAGACCTGAAAGGCAGAGGATACTGAAGGCCTAGAGAGGTTTTAGCCCCGGGGCTCTATCCTCACCCTCTACTACCAGGGAACTTCAAAGACTAGATGGAGGGGCAGCCTTCCCAGCTGGCTCCCCTCTGAACTCTTCCTCTGCTGAGTCTTTGCCAGCCAGCCCCTCTTCCCCCACACCCACCCCTTCCCCGAATGCCTTGGCCTGTCACTGGCCCTTCCAGACGTGCTCCTCCAGGACGCGTTCCTTCCCAGTAAGCTGAGGTGCATATGTGCTCCCTGAGGCGAAGCAGCTGCACACCAAGGGTGTGTGGTCAGATTGGCCCCCGCGAAGGAGGGAGGGTTTACGGGGAGCAGCGGGGTTACTGTCCCTGGAGTTGAGTCTATCATTTCTGAACGCCTTTTCTAGATTGATTAAGCAGCCTTTGCTGCAGTCCTGGGAAGTACCTGCCCCAAGTGGGGCAGCCGGTAACAGCCTCCCAGGATTCAAGTTCACCTCACTCCTGTGGCCCTGCATGTCCCACACTTCAAGGGACACTGACCCTCCATAATCAGGCCTCGGCGGCCAGAGCCCAGAATGGAAAAAAAAGAGGATGCAGGGAGGGATTTAGGTTAGACACAAAGCTAGAATCCCCCAGCAATGGTGGAGGCAGGGCACATGCCACTTGGGGACAGAGGGTAGGGGGATGCCCTGCAGCCCTGCATAATTGGGAGCCCGGATTCTCAAAATGTTATTTTGTTGTTTAAAAAAAAAAAAACACGGTCACAGGCCAGCTCTGTGATCTCACGATGCTTAATCTGCCGATTTTATCACCTATGAAAGAGAGAAACTCTCTCACACGGAGGTTGAGAGGAACAAATAAAATACTGCATGAAAAGTGCAGAGCAGGGGCGCCTGGGTGGCTCAGTTGGTTAAGCGACTGCCTTCGGCTCAGGTCATGATCCTGGAGTCCCGGGATCGAGTCCTGCATCGGGCTCCCCGCTCAGCAGGGAGTCTGCTTCTCCCTCTGACCCTTTTCCCTCTCATGCTCTCATTCTCTCTCAAATAAAATCTTAAAAAAAAAAAAAAGTGCAGAGCACTGTGCCTGACACATGAGCACTGGGTAGTGGTGGCTACTGGAAGCACTGGTCTTTCCTGCCATGAATCCCAGGAGACTGGAGAATGGCTCAGCAGACACTAAGCTGCTGGTGACTCCTGGTGGCCACTGGGAGCCAGGACGAGAGGGCTGGGCCTCCGGGGCTCAGGCTGGAAAATTCTGGACTCCTAGCATGTTCAGCTGTTAGACTTGCTGAGTTAGCCATTTAACAGACATTTCCCGAGGCTCTCTGTGGGCCAGGCCTAATAGCAGGAATTACTCTATTCCCATCCCGGCCTCTTCCAAGAGCTCCCTGACTGAAAATGGAGGGAAGGAGACACAAAGAGGAACACAAGGAGAGAGGAGGCCCCTAGGCAGCCTGGTGAGGAAAGGCTCTCAGGGAGAAGATCACGAAGGACAAATTTGATTTGGGGGCTGGGAGGGAAGAACATTCGGGGCAGAGAGAAAATCAATGTGCGAAACACGTTCAGAGTAGCAAGGAAATGAAAATGCAGCTGGGTCAGTGGGCTCATTCCTAAGGGCTTTGCATTTAATGCCAAAAAGTTTCTCTGCAGGCAGCCTGGGAACTTCAAAGGGTCCTATCTGTGAACACAATACCTTAGAAAGTCACTCTGGCCACGGCAAGAGGGGTCTGGGTGGAGGCACAACAAGACTAGAAGGGGGCCTGCGTGGCAGCTAGGTCAAAGTCAGACATGGTGGCTCCAGCCCCTGGTTCCTGAGGATGTGGGTCATGAGGGGAAGAGACACTTATGTCGGGGAGATGCTGTCCAGGAGGCAGCTAGGTGTGTCACCTAGCGCTCAGGAGACGGCTGGGCCAAGAGCAGCGCACTCACTGCGGAGAGCCAGCGGAATGTAGACTAGGTATTCAATCTCCATGCGCCCTTTGGCATGTGCCAGGAGCGTCACAGATGCTAACACACTGAG